AACTCAAGCGATTTGGAGCTTTGAAGTCTGAGTAAAAGCCCAAGGAATTAAGCCAGGATCGTGTTCGGAGATCAACGGATGATAGTTAAGAACGAACGAAGAAGAATCGAGTAGGCATATTTCGCACTGTCTAGTAAAATACACATAACTTTTCGCTGAGAACTCCATTTGGGCTCCACAATTTATGGTTGGAAAGCTAACTCAAAGAGCTACAACTTTTATGTTTTATGTTTTTCCAAATTCCTAACAGTCCGCGATCAGGTACGCGATCGCGGACAGAACACTATGCAAAATCCGCGGTTAGGTCCGCAGTCTAATCCGTAGCCGCGGACGCCCTGACTTGAAAAAGTGCCCTTTTTAGCGTAGGAGAAGGTATAATTGTTTGGGCCCGACCCTACTTGGTATATATACAAGGAAAAATGGTATTTTGAGCACTTTTGACAGACTTTTGACATAATTTAGACCTAAAGAGGCTAAGGAGACCGGAGATTCGACCTAAGGAGGCAAGAACACACTAGGAGCAAGGCGGAGAATTCTTCTACGAGTTTTTCACTTCCTTCTTCCTATTTCCATTATTGGTTATGAATTCTAGTATTGTAGTTATTCATACTATTATGAATAACTAATTTGTTAGCTAGGGTTTTGATGGAACCTTTTGGAGGATGAATTCTTGTTATATTTTTATATAATTAAGCCTTTGGATTTCTCTACTTGTTCAACTACGTATTTGTTGTTGATTGAATGGCCATCAACTGACTGTGTTAGTGTGTGCTGCTCGAGAGAGAGTATATGTTTAGGTAGTTGTTGAATAACATCACCCCTAACGTATGAGAGAGATCAATACGGAGGGTTTAAAGGCGGGATTAGAGATAACGAAACCTTCGTGCGATCATATGAGCGGTGAATTAGTGCTAGCTATGGCTGTCCAACGGGACGGGCCGGCCCGTCCCGTCCCGCGTCCCGTCCCGGTCCCGTCCCGTCCCTTCCCGTCCCGCTTCAAGTTAAATGGGATGGGCCAATGTTAAACGGGACACGGGATGGGACGGGACGACCATTTCGTCCCGTTTGTCCCGTCCCGTTTCGTCCCGTCCCGTCCCGTCCCACGTCCCGCCAGTTTTTTTTTTTTTAATTTTTTTTTTTTTTTAAATACTATCCGTTGGGCAACGGCTTAAATGGAAAAAATAGTCGTTGCCAACGGTCCAAACAGTCCCTACACCCCCCAAAACACCCCCTACCCCCCTACCCCCCAAACTTTTAATATAACCCCTAAGTTTATTAAATTACACTTTGGCCCTATTTTCTACTATAAATACCCCCCGTTCTTCATTTTTTCCCACAAAAAATCAATCTTCTCTCTCAAATCTCTTACATTCTAATATTATATCTATATTCTATATTATTCTCTCAATTTTGTTACTATCAAGTATCAAGTATCAACTATCAAGTGTCAAGTGATATCTTTCAAGTTTCAACTTTCAAGTATTTGGGCAAATTTTTTGGAGCAACTTTCAAGCTTCAAATTAATTCGTCAAGTATTTGGAGCAATATTTCGGGCAATTTCTTCAAGTTTCAATATTTAATCACGGTGCACTCGTTCCATCTCCTAATTTTAATATATAATTTTTGCGTATCATTTTAGTGCTTAATTTTTGTGTTTACTTTACGTGTTATATTTTCGTATTTCATTTTGTGTGTTTAATATTTGTGTTAGCTTTTTTAATTTAGTTTCGTATTTAAATTATGGCACCTAAAAATGTATTTTTTAAACATGATAAAGTCAATCATCGTGCTATCTGTGAAAAATGTAAGCAACAATTTTGCAAACTCAGTAAGTGGTGAGACGTGGGGTTTAACTAGACACTTAAGAAGTGCTCACAAAGATTTATGGATACAAGCTAACATAGAAGCCGGAAAAATTATAGATCCTACCATCAGTTCTGGCACTCCTAGTGGATCTGGTTCTAATCAAATTCAACAACAATTTGACCCTGCTTCTGGTCATGTTTTACGCAAATATAACAAAGATAGAGATCGTGAGAACTTAGCAAAAATGGTGGCTATCTGTGGCTTACCTTTTACTTTTCCTTCTCACCCTGCTTTTGTGCATTATATACAAGAAACTTATAACCCTGCTTTTCAAGGTTTTCCTAAGACCACGGTTAGAAATGATGTTTTTAAATTTCAAACTGAATATCTTCAGTATATTCGTTGTGTATTTTTTCACTTGGATTGTAAAGTGTCTATCACATCTGATATATGTCGTAGTCCTAATGGTTGTGATTATTTAACTGTTACATGTCATTGGGTCGATCATCACTGAAACTTGCAAAAACGTATTATTGGTTATAAATTTGTTGATTCAAAACACACTGGAGCATATATTGCAACTACTGTTCTACAAATACTTGATTTTTATGGACTCGTTAATAAAGTTCTAACTATCACCTTAGATAATGCTTCTGCTAACACAACCGCGACAAATAGCTTAAAATCTAGACTTTGTCCAATTAATCCAATAATTTTTCATGTTAGATGTGCATGCCATATTTTTAACTTGGTTGTAAAAGATGGTCTTAATTTATTTTCTGATGCTTGTAGTAAAATACAACATGCTTGTGGCTATATTTTTCGTGCTCATAAACAAAGTAGAATTCGTGAATTTGCTCAACAATGTGCTAGTGCTGGCCTTCCATTTAGAAAAGTTCCAAAAGATGTTTGTACTAGGTGAAATTCTACTTATGAAATGCTTACAGTTGCTTATGATTATCGGGTGCCCATCCAAAAGGTATTTAATATGCATAATGCTTACCCTGTTGATCAAATTGTTGATTCTGATTGGGATGAGATCAGAGAGCTTACTAAATTTTTAGAAAATTTTTATTATGCTACAAAACAATTTTCTGGTATATATTATCCTACTATTACACAAATATTATGGCATATTTGTGGAATTTCTGTTGTATTTGGTAAGTATAAAAAAATCCAACTTATGCACCAGCCATTAAAGAAATGATTTTAAAATTTAAAAAGTATTTTTTCCCTATTCCCGAAGTTTATTTAATTTCTACACTACTTAACCCATCTTTAAAACTAAGAGGTGCAAAGGGACTTGTTCGTAAAATTTATGAGAATTTAGAAATTCAAGAAAATGAACAACCATCTCTCGAAAACTGCCAAGCTAGCATATATTCTTATGCTAGATCAATGTTTGATAAATATAAATCTATGGATACAACTAGTACTGAAACTGCTCCTTCTACTTCTAAGTCTGGAGCAGAGGTTTTATGGGAAGATATGGATGATATAACAGGTTTTGATTCCTCTTTTGATGAAGAACTTGATTCTTATCTTAATCAAGGATTGAAAAATATTAAAGACGAAGAAGGCAAGGAACAACTTTTGTCATGGTGGAGGGAGCGTGGCAAGGCTTTTCCAACACTTTCAATTATGGCCCAAGATATCCTGGCTATTCAAGCATCATCAGTAGCATCGGAGAGTGCTTTTAGCGCGGCAAGATTTCAAATTGGAGATCATAGACATTCATTAGCGGAGGACAGTCTAGAGATTTCCGTCTTATTCAGAGATTGAATTAATTCAGAAAGAAGAAATCATGGTTTTGAAAAACTAACCACTAGGGAAGAAGAAGAATACAATGAGATACTTACCACTGGGAGCGATGACGGCATGGAGCTCATGGAACATCAATCAACATTGCCAATTCCAGTAGAATGTCCAAGAGATATTATTGATAAGTTACAAAGAAGCTATATAGGAGCTTACAAATATTAGTATGATAATTTATAATTGGCTACTAAGAGGCCTAGTTCAAACAGAACCCTTCCTAGAAGGTGGCTGCGTAGAATATGTGCTCTTCAAAAGAATTATATTTGTATTTGAGATTTGAAAGTTCTATTAATAAAATAAAAGGCTCTAAGCGATGAATTATTTTTATGAATTGTCTTAGTTACTTAATAGTTAATACTTTGAAATTATATTAAATAAATTATAACTCTATTATAAATTTATATTTACTAGATTATTTCATTACAAGTCTTTTGTTTTAATATTTTACAATTCTTTACTTAGTTTTCTAATTTTCTTTTTAACATACTAACATAGTAACATTTAAGTTTATTAAATAAGTCAAAAATCTAGCCGTTGCAAACTTTAAAAACATAGTAATTTTAAAAAAACTAGACGTTTTTTTATTAAAAAAAATACACTTAAGGCCCACGAACCCGTCCCGTCCCGTCCCGTTCCGTCCCGTCCCATCCCGTCCCATCCCGTTTGTTAGCGGGACGGGATGGGACGACCGTTTCGTCCCGTTTGTCCCGTCCCGTTTCGTCCCGTCCCGCCACCGTCCCGCTTAAATGTCGTCCCGTCCCGTTAATTTCGTCCCGTCCCGTCCCGTCCCGTTGGACAGCCATAGTGCTAGCTAGTGTAGTTTGAGAGAATACATCTAATAAATTGCGGTAGTTGCTCAAGAGAGAGCTACGACACTCAGATTACTCCCGATCGGTAGAGAATACTTAGGCGAAATTATAGAAGACGTAGCGGGAAGGATTCCGACAATTGGGGAAATCATAACTCTAGACCTCCTAATCTTTTCTCCAACCCTTAGTATCCCTAGTTTTTAATTTACTTCTTTAATTTGTTAGACATAAATTTTTTAATATTATAACTTAAGAATTCTCGAGCTTGTCTTCCGAGTGATATTGAACAATTATAGTGAAACCTTAGTTCTATGTGGGATTCGACTCCGGACGCCCTGTTAGAACAATCTGGTCTGCAACAACACAACCTGAAAGGAAGCCATTCCTAATTGGAAGTTTCAAGCTTAGACCGGATTATATTTGAAACGACCGCTTATTATTTTTAGAAATAGAATTGGGCGTGATTAGTAAGCCATTAAAGAAATTTACCGAAGTCCAAGAGGGATTTCATAATCCAAAAAGAGGGGCATTGTAACACCAAACACAAGGCAACAAAGTGATTACATTTGAATTCGCGCTATTACTACAAAGGCTGCAATAGACCAAAAGAGCAACAAAATATGTATACAATACAGCAGCGTCCCCACCAAGCTTGAATTTGAATCCTCAAATACTGCCATAAATAACGCCACCTGCTCTTCTCTTCCACCCAACCCCATACCCCACTACCTCACTCCACTAATCCATGAAAATATATGCAATTAATTGTGTATAAAATAATGAAAATCCATCTGTTATATTCAAATTAGTAGATCTGAAACTTCAGATTTGGATCTACTCTGAGAAAATGGGTTCGAGTAGTAGTAAGAATACTGCAACTGATTCACCACTGCCGCCGCCGTCATCGCCGGCGGCGTCATCTTCATCTTCGTCTTCGACGGCGGTTGTTCGGAGATCTCGATCCACTCGGAGTAAAGTTTTTCTGTCCTCCTGTCTCGGATCTCGTGATTCAGACAATGAAGCAACACAGGTCTTGCTTTTTGTGTTTTCTTTCTGTAAGTTTCAGTATGCATAGAGGTTGTTCATTGTGCTTTCTTAGTTGTACTTATGGCTCTAGAATTGTTAATGCTCCGAAAAAGAATTGCATTTATATTTTTACGCTGCACAGTTAAACGTGGAATTTAGTTTAAACTACTAAATTTGTCGTGTAAGTTTCTTTTTAGATTATACGATAGTCTTATATTAAGCGGTTCTTGGCCTTGGTGAGCAGAGTTACCCGGTATTTGTGCTGTGGGAGATAGCAGGTACCCGGTGGAACAGTTGAGTTGCGCTCAAGCTAGCCCGGACACCACCGTCATAAAAATAGAAATCTTATGTTAAATGGTCTTGATTGCTAAAAATAGTTAGGGAATGAGTGGAGGTAGGGTGTGGAGGGATGGGTGGGTGCAAATGATTGTTGCACAGTTGACGAGGAACATGTGGATGCTGAATCATGCAGGATTTGATGCCTTTTAATATGAATACCTATGCAATATCTTTTTTTTTTGATTCATAAACTTGTATTCAGGCTTCGGAACATCAAACCAAAAGAAACGAGGTTACTGGTCCTTCTTTGAGTGAGTCTAAATCAGGAGGAAGAAAGACCGAATGGTATGGAAAGGTTAAAGTTAAGAAGCACGATGAACCATGTGTAGATTCCAGTATTGAGCTTGATGATTGGAATGAATCAAGCTTATCTGATACTGTGGCTAGGAGAGGTGATGCTTCTTCTCGAGCTTCCTCATCTAGATCATCGAATCCTTCTGGTCGTTTCCTCCCCCGCTTCAGTTTTCGTCCTGGCAACATGAGCTTCCGGCTGAGCAGAGCAAATAGTTTAGGGTCAGCGAGGTCCCTTTTTGCATCTTCACAGAGGTTTGCTATTTCAACCGATGAGGGTGAGCTTCCACGCTCAAGTTCGTATGGTAGATTCACCGATAGAAATGAAAGGCCACAGAGTTGTGACTTCTTTCCTAGTTGTTTCAGCAATCAGTCTCCTAGTCGATGTTCTGAAGATGCTACTTCTAATCACTTGGCGTTCACTCCTTCAACTGCTAACTTTCCTGATAATTTTATGGATGAGCTACATATGGCGTCCAGAAGAGGTTTGTCAGGTGACAGAAATGATACTAGAGTAGAGTGTAGTGTTAATTTATTTTCTCCAAGAAATCATAATTATACTGATGGTTTTGAGACAAGAGTTTCTGACAGAAGAAGTGCTGCTCGTGAGCCCACTGAAAGGAATATCAGTATTAGTAGAACCCTGAGTGTTGGTAGACTTCGTGATAGGGTTGTTCGAAGATCATCATTTCCTGATGTTTGCTCCTTTCAACGGGAAACAGAAACCAGACATGCTAGTGACAATAGTGTGAGACAGAATTTAGGTGGTGAAATAAGTTTGACAGCATCCGAAGGGAATGACTTAAATCTATCAAATACTTCTGGCCTTTCATCATCTGGTACATCTACCTCCTTGTATGGGAGCCAATATTATGCAGTTGAGAGCCCAAGAGGAAGAGAAGCAAGATATAGTGATATGCTGGAGCATAGGTCAAATTGGCTAGAGAGGCGAAGAAGAATAAGATCTCAGGTCTGTGAATATCTGCCTAACTTCATCATGCTCACATTTGGTTTATATTGCATCCCCGTATAAGCAAGAGGGTAAAAGTCTATTTTTCTTCATACATGAATGCAGCACTTCTAATTGCGTGTCTCGTGTTTGGTGTAACTCGTTGGCCACTTATGAAATGGCTACTTCCAAAATAATGCTTAAGAATATGTAGCCTGGAAACAGAACTGTAATCTGAATGAGCTTGAACAGCATATGATATGTAGGGTTCCTCTAATCATGTATAGTTTTGAGCCAGGACAAGATCCTCTTTACACGAACATATTATTTACTTTTTAGGTCTATGCTCTTCAACGACTGGGAAGGCGCTTTGAGAACCACTCTGGCCATGAGAGGTCTTGTGTCTTATCTGGTCAGCAACGAACGGGTCACTGTACATGTCGTATTGGTACCCGAGGAGCTAACTTAGATAGTGACAGTAGTGCCAGGGCAAGCATTTCAAGAATTGTTATGTTGGCAGAAGCTTTATTTGAGGTAATGTTACCAATCCGTTTTACTTTACAGACACTTACCTTTTAATCATCAGTACGAGTTGAACTTGGGTACTCATTTTAGGTTCTGGATGAAATTCATCAGCAATCGGTTGTGCTATCATCTCAGCCTTCTGTATCCTCAATTGGGTCTGTTCCAGCACCCATTGAAGTTGTAGAATCCCTACCTGTCAAATCATACAACAAATTCCGTAGGAGTTCGAATGACGAAGTTGCACAGTGAGTATTACATTTTACTCTTTGCCTGTATCTGTTTGCACCATTTACAGTTTTGTGCTTAAGTTTTGAATCTCTAATTCTTTCGGACAAAGTTATTCATATGTTAATATAGCACTTCCTAGAAGTAAATAAAGATGCATTCCAAAAGGTTATGCCAAAATTTAGTGGAAAAGTAGCTAGAAGAGACACGAAGATTGAAGGAAAAGCCACTGAAAATTCCTACCAGATTGAATAATCAGTAGTCCTATGGAAAAGGAAAAATATGACCAATGAAAATAGGCTCAATGGTCTGGCAACTCTTGCTTAACCCTCTTTCTTTCCTTCTAAACTACATTCAGCAAACCCCAATATGCGATCTTCTCTTCCTCTGAACGGAGGTGAATAGATGTTTCTGAAGGTTTGCTATAGAACAATGATTGAAGAATGTTCTGAAAAATAAGTTGAAGTATTATTCAGCTCTCAGTGTAAAGCTTGAATAATGCGATGCATTTCAACAAACCACTAGCCAGGTCACTTGGCATTAGTTGTATTGGTGTTAGATGATTTAGAACCATTTAGCATGGAGATCTCTGGTTCAGCTGAGATTTCTACCATTGTAATCTTTGATTTCTTCGTTTCTTCTGTTCTGAATTGAGAGTTTGCTTTGTCTGAAACGCAAGCACGGACATATGCATGAATAGTACTCTGGCGTGCTATTCCAAATTATATACTCCCTTCGTTTAAAAAAGAATGAACCTATTTCCTTTTTAGTCCCTTCCAAAAGAATGACCCCTATCTAAATTTCAAAACAATGTTAACTTTAAACTTCCCGTTTTACTCTTAATGAGATGATTTATAGCCACACAAATATCTATGAATTGTTTTAGACCACAAGTTTCAAAAGTCTTTCATTCTTTCTTAAACTCTATGCCTAGTCAAATAGGTTCACTCTCTTTTAAACCAAGGGCTTAAGTCATGTTATGGTATCTCTAACACCGGAACATGCGTCTTTGTATATTTGATGTTACCAACACTGACCCTGAGCAAATGCAGTGATTCTTGACAAAAATAAAAAAGTAAAGATTTTAAGATGCTGGGAAACCTCTTAACTCCAAAGCATTTGCAACGAAGTACAAACAATCTTGAGGGTCTTCTTTACTAATCTTTTCCGGTCACTTGTTCTTTCTTTAATTTTTCCTATTATAAATAGAAGTCATAAAGAGTTCTAGGTGGACATAGTGTTCTTTTTTTCATGCTTGATTTGCTGTTATCACTCTTCATGCAGGTCTTATGTTAGCATAGGATTTATGTTTAGACCTTGAAATAATCTGTTGGGTTACTAACATCCTGGAGTAAACCAATCATAACTTGTTATGTCTGGAAATAAATAAAGTATGATTGCATGCTTTATATTAAAGCTCCTTTACTTGTTCTATGTATTATCAAAGTCAAAATTCAGAATACATAAATATTTCCTTTTCTTTTGTTCATTCTTAGTCAAAATTTTATATGTTATGTGGTCTTTTTAACTTGAATATTGCGGCCGTCTTTCTTATGCGAACTATTTGGCTTTACTGTGACAGATGTTACATTTGTCTGGTTGAGTACGAGGAGGGAGATATTTTACGAACACTGCCTTGCCATCATGAATTTCACAAGACTTGTGTTGACAAATGGCTCAAAGAAATTCACAGGTATACTTTTTGGACAACCTTCTTTGCTTGCGCATCTTCTCTTATGATATTTATTGAAAATTCGAGCTGCTTTGTGCTGGTATATTTCAAAGTCAAATACAGAAGCTCCTCAACTATATGTATCTGGCAATTTTCCTCGAGACTAAAGTTATGAAACTTCAATTTAGCCTTAAAATATAGGTTAAAGTTCTTTCCGCGTATCATGAGACTCACTTAGAGATGAACAAGAATCTACTTGCATATGATCTAATGAGATGGAAACTTTTTCCGATAGATCCTCGGTCAGTGTTGTTAAAAGCGACGAGGCACCTAGCTCTTCTTTGATCTGAAGCGTATCAGGTACACAAAAGCGATCGCTTCCCCTGAAAAAGCGAGCAGCGAGGAAGCGAACAAAGCGACAAAAGCGAGCGCTTCTCTTTATAACTGGGTGCCAATGTTAATTAATTAAAAAGGCTCTCGTTTTTTAACTTCGACATCATCAAGTTTGGTCCCAAGTATGTGATTTCTTCTTCCTCCTCCTTTTTCTTTCACTGTTTCAGTGTCCAAGTAGCAGCAAAATGCTGGCGAATTTTTTTTCCTCTTCAGTTTTCTTTTTCTCATTCTCCTCTTTTTCTTCTTCTTCTTCATTTTCTTTCACTGTTTTAGTGGTCAATTGCAGCAAAATGCTGCCCATTTTTTCCGTTTCAGTTATATTGCCATTTTTTGGCATACTTACTGCCATTTTCTTCATATCATTTATTCTTAGTTGTCTCTGCAGTATTCATTTTATTGTCATTCTCCTCTTCTTCTTCATTGTCTATGCAGTATTTATTTTAATATTTTTTTAAAATTCCGCTTCACTTCAAAAAAAGCGAGCGCTTTGCTTGTCGCTTGTCGCTTTTCCTCGCTTCACGCTCTTCACAACACTGCCCCCGGCTAAAGAAAGGATGAAAAGAAGTTATGGCAACAAGTAGTAACAACAACATGATAAAAGAAAATTGAAGCAAAGGTAGCAACTAAATGGTAGGTAATAATAGCAATCTAAGAGTAGAAAGATATCAAACTAGTACTAGTGCTACCAAACAGAGGAAGACAAAGGGAAATGCTCGCCCACCTACTAACCTTCTACCCTGATCCTCGACCTTCACACCCTCCTATCAAGGGTCATGTTCTCAGTAAGCTCCAGCTGCGTCATGTCTCGCCTAATCACCTCTACCTAAGACTTCTTAGGCCTACTTTTACCCCTCCTTATACCACCATCAAGGCTAATCTCTCACACCTCCTAACTAGGGCTTTTGTGCTTCTCCTCTTAACATCCCCGAACCATCTCAACCTCGCCTCTTGCATCTTATCTTTCACAGGGGCCACTCCCACCTTATCCCGAATAATTTCATTCCTAATTTTATCTAACCTGGTATGCTCGCACATTTATCTCAACATCCTGATTTCATCTACTTTCATCTTCTGGACATGAGAGTTCTTACCGGCCAACACTCTGCCCCATACAACATAGTCGGTCTAACTACTGCCCTGTAGAACTTACCTTTAAGTTTCAGTGGCACAACTTAGGACATGTTGTAATGGTCTATCAAATACGTAGAGTATATACAGTGTTTCAACACAAGGTAATTAACAAGAACTATAATATTAAGAGATTAGTAGTATTTAAGAAAATTAGAGAAAGTAAAATATATTCACATAAGTGGATGTCTACTTTTATTTGCTAAACTAGTAGATTATTCCTTAATTCCATCATTGCCATTTGTGACACTCGACATTATTGGAAAGAGTTATTTATCATGAGCCCTTGATCTGAAATTCACCTAGGCGCTAAAGATCCTTGTAGTACTATTATCCAAGGTAACGAAACAATCACGATAAAGTGAAGGCTAAGATTTTCCTTCATTACCTCTGCCCCTCCTTTAACTGTGAAAGATTCATTTGAATAGTAGAATAATTTACAGGAATGGTATGACCTTTGCCTTTCTAACTCCACAAGGTAAGGGTAAGGTCTGCGTATACTCTACCCTCCCCAAACCCCACTTGTGGGATTTCACTGGGTATGTTGTTATTGGTATAACCATCTAAAAGTGATAGTATTACTAAAAGCTTATCGTGAGTTCTATCATTTTCAAATTAGTTTTCAATTATAATTATGTGGAGATAATATCACAAATGATGTCTCGTTGGAGAAAACCTTTTATATTGTTCATGCTTCAAATGTGCTGCTATATATCTATGTCGTAAAAAGGGTTTTAAGAAATACTATAAGTTAATCCAATGCCTACTTGTAGCTCTGAAGAATAATACTCAGTAATGAAAAATCATTAAACTCGTTCTGAGCTGGATCTGCTCCATCCTTTGAAGTGAATGTAGAGAAGAGACAAGATAATTATTGTGGGCGTGGCTATAGACGACGTGGATGTGGATCTGCTTTGAGTATCAGAACTAAAGAGTTGATCATGTATTGCTACATTTACTTCAGGGAATGGAGCTGATCTGGTGGGACAACCTTCATGATATTCATCAATAGAGTATTATTCTACTTAGGCACAAGTAGGCATGTGATTAACTCAAAGTGTTCCTTAAAATCATTTTAACGATTTCGATATTGTAACATTGCATTTGAAGCATGAAAAATAGAAAGCTTTTCCAAAAAATCCTCATTTATGATATTATTTTCACATAATTTTAATTGAAAAATTATTTTGGAAACAATAGAATTATACTTACGGTTGTAAATTCCTGCCGCAAAATGCATCTACCCATAACGAGCTTTTAGTAACACTATCGATTTCGAGTGGTTATTGCCGTTTGTTCAAATTATTCTATAATTCAAGTGGATCTATCATGGCTAAAAAAAAGTGGACATTCGCTTGTGTGTATGTGTTTACACACCAGAGAACTAGTAATCTTTATTATTCCCTTCATGAAGATGAAGACGATGGAAAATCACAACATTCATTTTATCTTGATTTGATACTTCATTATTTTAAAACCTTAAATGGGGCATAATTTTGTCATTTTCATAATAAGTTATCAATTCAAAATATTGTGAAGATGATATCACAGATGATATCTCGGTGGAGAAATTCTTTTCTATTTTCATCATCTGTGATATTATTGTCATATAATTTAAATTGGAAGCTTATTTTGGTAACATTATTATTATACTTTACCCTTCATGGATTTGATGACGAGGAAATTCACAACCTAGGCTTTTCGTAGGTAGATACTTCGTTACTTTGGATAATAGTACTCCAAAGACCTCGAGCGTCAAGACGAATTTCAACATCAAGGATTTATGGTAAATAATTTTTGTAGTAATATTGAGTAGGATCCATGGTAAATAATTCTTTCGAGTAATGTCGAGTGCCACAAATGACAATGAAGGAATAAATCCGCTTGTTTAGTGGATAAAATTGACATAAACTGATGTGGATATATTTACAACAAAAGAACCATTGACTCCCATAGAAAAAAGTGGACCCTTATGTATATGTATTTACAACACAGAGAACTACTAATCTTTATTATTCAGGCGAATGAAATGAATGAACAACTTGAGTAAGAGATATTGAAGTCCTGATAAAACATAATCTTCAGTATTCAAGCGATTGAATCACTGAACAACTGGTTTAAGATTGTAGAAGTGACGATCAGATGTTAAGAGCGAATAAAAGCTTTTTAAGGGACCTTCTCTTACATTAGTTGACCCTGAAGTCTTCTTTGCTTTTTGGAGATTTAAAATGCCCCTCTTTTTTTTTTTTTTTTATAAGGTAAATTGTATTAATCAAAAGGGAGAAAACTCCCGTTATAAGTCTTTCAGACATCGATAAAGGGTTGATAAGCTAAGAAATGTCTAGAGGGAACAATGACATTTTTCGTTATCTAGTGAGATCTGGTTTTGGTATGAGGACTGTATCAATCAGGATTAAGTAAATGACATCCATCTTGGTCATTACTCGAAGAAAACTAAAAAAGAACAAATTGAAGAATCATTGTTACTGTTATGAAAAGTAAGTGTGTCTATGAGGGAATAGATGAGGTGGGGAGTGAGTGGTTACAGAATTGGTGAAAAGAATTAGATTAGGATAAGATTACTCAGCCAAAGAAAATTAGATTAGGACAGAGTGTAGTTCCTGAAGTCCCTGCAAAGTGTCATTGTACCCTTTTATGTGTGGTAACTATATTTTGATTAAGAGCTCAAAGAAATAAGATTGATTATAATTTTTTTCTTGCGATAATTATCTTTTTCTTTGGCGAAAAATATCTTCCACTAAAGTTAGAACTTTCGTTAGTACTTGTAGAGTACAATTATGTTGCATAACCGTTGTTCATTTTGATGTAGAGTATGCCCATTATGTCGAGGTGATATCTGCCAATCTGACTCATTCCAAGGAAATGTTTGATATTGCTTGCCTGGATGTCGTCTCTTGTATTACTGATCTCCTTGATAGTGTTGCAAGAAGAGTTGGTACCAGGAGTACCTTCACATATCTCTGATACACTTCAGTATGGTTTGAGAGTGTGTTCTGTTTCGATGCAGTTGTCCATCTCTTATTGTTGTAAAATATTCATTTGTGATAGAAACTTATACTTTCTCAGCAAAGATGGATCAACTACTGTATGATCTGGGGAGAGATTTCAAATGGGTGCTTTGAAGAAACAAGCAGCAGATCTATTTACCACTGTGAGAAAACTTGTATTTTTCAATCAATATGCTGCTGGTGGTTTCTATGGGAAACCAAATTCATGATATTTGCCAGAAGTATCTTTTTGATTATTAGTGTCTTTCTTTTCATTGATAAATAGATAATGGAAGCCACGAGGGTCAATTGCTCCATTAAGAACAGTAATTTTAAAAAAAAAAAAAACAATTATTCAATTAATTGGAGGAAAAAGTGGGAAGGGAGACGAGAGTTGAACCCAGATCTATTGTGTGGAAGATTTTCACCCATATTACTATGCTAATAAGTCTTGTTATTATAGGTAGTATTGGTTACGAGTAAAGAGGAAGATACGAAGTAGAGATTGTTATTTTGAAATAAGAATTTAAAGTTTGAATATTAAGTGAGATTGAGAATTATTCTATTGAAATGAGAAACCGTGATAAGATTAAGAAAAGGACAAAAAAAAAATACTGTGACGAATAGCATCTTTGTGACAAACCCCCGGTCAAGCACATGACAATCATATTAATTAACAAGTATCTCTTGGCGGGTATGTACTCTCTGTTGAAAGTCTACAATTAACAAGACCTAATTAATGTTAGAAATTAAAGTATAAAAAGATAGAAGAGTAAAACTTATTAAGGGACCAAGGGAGTTCTTAAATATTGCTAATTGTAAAATTTCATTGTTTGCCTATGAGTATTATTGGACTAGAAAGTGTGAGGGTGTACTCTCTAAAGAAAGTGATTTGCAACGAAGTCTTGACATTTACTTTAGTCTATCTTCAGATCTCCCAATTTTTCCAACGATGATAAAACAACCATATATTAATTACAGATAACTTTTAAACCTTACTTTAGGAAACCCAAATAAACTGGGAAAAGACTCTTAATTTTCACAGAGCAAATGTAATCCTGCATATTTAGGTAAGTTGTTGTACGGTATGTTTATATTTAGGTAAGTTGTTGTATAGTATGTTTATCTTTTGGTAAGTTGTTGTATAGTATGTTAGTAATATTTTGGTAAGTTGTTTTATAGTAAGTTTGTCTATTGAAATTGTATGTAATCCCATAGTTATAAAAGACTTTTGCCCTTTATATAATAATAGTGTGAAACTCATCAAGCAAGCATTTTATTAAAATCTAACTATACAGTGAGGGAAGATGGAAATGAAAGTTGAAATTACTCACAAAGATACAATCAAACCATCTTCTCCAACACCTCTAAGCCAAAGAAATTACAAGCTTTCCCTTATAGATCAATTAACCCCAGGTCCTTATGTTCCTATTGTCCTCTTCTATGACTCAACCACCAAATTCTCCCATGATCACCTCCAAAAATCCCTCTCAAAAACCTTGAACTATATGTACCCTCTAGCTGGAAGAATAAAGGATGAATTCACGATCGAATGCAACGATAAAGGAGTCGATTTCCTTGAAGCAAATGTAAGTAACATTACCCTGTCCAACATTGTTAATGACCCGAAAATTGGAACTCTTTCTCAATTGCTTCCATGCCATCCTCATGCAAGATCTAAAGAACCGAGTGATCAAATTTTGCTAGCAGTTCAAGTGACTAAGTTCCCTTGTGGAGGAATTTCCATTGGTGTGTGCGTTTGGCATCTAATTGCTGATGCATCTACACTTGCCACTCTTGTTAATACTTGGGCAAAAATGAATCAAGAAAACAATGTCATTGGCAATGGCTACATCGTCGATGTTACTGGGATCTTTCCTCCAAGAGATCTTAGTAATAATCCCTTGTTAACCATGGTTCCAATCCCAGAAGAGTTGCCTTTCAAAATATCAATGAAGAGATTCATATTTGATAACTCAAAGCTAGCTGCATTAATACAGAGTTGCGAACGTTGTCCGACTCGTTTTGAGGCTTTGTCAGCTTTCCTATGGTCAGCAATTATATCAACATGGAAAGACAAAAAAAGTGAAATCAAAGTTTGCATACTAATGACATCAATCAATCTAAGGAAGAGAATGATACCTAATTTACCAACAAATAGCATGGGGAACCTTGTTTATCCAACAATGGCCAAATGGGAAGTTGAAGAAGGAGTCATTGATTACAAAAAGTTGGTGGAAAGAGTTGAAGAATCAATAAGGATGGTGGAAGATAGTTATATAAGAAGGATTCATGAGAAGAATGGGTACATAGATTACATGAAGTCAATACTTGAGTTGTGTATAACTAGAGGGAATGAAGTAGGAATTGCTGGTTGTATTAGTTGGTGTAAGCTTCCATTTTATGAAGCTGATTTTGGATGGGGTAAACCTATTTGGATAGCTAATCCTATCAAGTTTCCATGTGGTTTCAATCTTTTAGATAGTGGTGATGGCAAGGGAATTGAAGTATGGTTGGGATTGCCAGAAGAGGAGATGCTGTTGCTGGAGAAGAATAAACATTTCTTATCATATGTTTCTTTAAGTCAAGATGTTTGAAAGGAAAAAAGAAAAGACGTTTGATTCATATTAGAATTTGCTTCAGGTTTGGATGGTCGCGACTACTGTCCAGAAAAGGAGAAGTAATAAATTTATATGCTTTTTATTTTGGAATCTTTGTTATCTTGTTGGAATTCCTCTTACTAGTGGATATCTTTGAGAAAAGGTTTAAATTTATCTAAAAGAAGGAATGCAACATCACTTTAATAGCATTATATAACACTTTATGTCAATCATTTGGCTATTTTAGTACTATTCAATCTTTAATTTACAGATAAAAATAAAAAGTCATGTGATATATTAAGAAAAGTTATTAAAATAAAAAGTTAAAACTGTATGGGACAGAGGAAATTCAACACGAAGAGGTGTTTATCATGAGATTTGTAACTAACGATGGGCAGTTCGGCTGAGGTCGATCAGTGGTTAATAGAACAAGCCGTTGAGTGGCTCATCAGGGCCGAGGTCGAGCAACATGGACAAAAATAACGGCTAGTACAACTTTGGAACCTTCAAAGTGAATATTCTATTGAATATTCGTTCTGTTGTACCTTTTAGGGTTCTTTGGGAATATCCCATATAAATAGTAGGAGATCTAAGGCAAAAGGCATGTAATATTCCATATGATAAGAACACTTTTGAAAAGTAAGATCTCTAGATAAATACAAAGAGCAACTCTCTGAAGAGATTCGATCTTTATATTCTATCCATTGTCATTTCCACCAGATCCGAGAAAGTGTCTAATATTCTCTCATATTCTTGTCATTCATCATTGTCAGAGGAAGGAATCATTCAGCTCATTCAATATTGGGTGAATGTTCCTCCTTATTTACATTTAGTGCCACTCATTGTTATTTATTACTTGTCATTATTCTCATCCTATTAATAACCGCAATATTTATTGTGTATTGCATTAAATCCACTTCGACGTGGTCCCACGTTATCCGCATAAGATAATTTTAGATCTAGGGTCATTATCTTTAACTAGGATTAGCCCCTTACCTTTTTTACTTAATTAGTTTAACAAAAAGTTCTATACTTTTTGGTCAAATAATTTGGCGCCATCTGTGGGTATTTTCTAGTTAAAATTTTAGTTTACTCTAGATCTATAACACACAAAAAAAAAGGGCAAAAAACACAACACTTTCTTGTGCACACAAATCTAACATGGCAGGTAATGGAGAGGAAAAGAGGAAAGCAATTGCCGAACTCATTGCTAATCTCCTCAACACAATCAACAAAGTCGATGAAACGGAGCGTGAGGACATAATACCAAATACATATCCCCGGCGAAATACCTCGCACCGTCCTCACGGCAGCATCACAATCTTACACGGTAAAGGGGCCTCTACATCCACAACGGAAGAGGCACCACCAGCAGTGAAAAAGCTGCTCGAGGCATGGTTGACAAACACGCTGACCAGCATTCTCGACAAGCCCGCCCAAAGGACGAACAAAAAACCGCGAGAGTCTGCTTCACACACGTGACAAACGAGCAGCACGACCCTCCTCTCGTGACAGGTATTACTCACAACATTAGTGATGCAGGTAACGACACCCTCACAACCATTTTGAGAAAGATGGAGGAGATGGAGAACGAGAACAAAATACTCCGCGACCAAATGAAAGAGCATCAAGAAAGGGTAGACAAGATACCAGGCGCCCCAAAACTCTTACCAAGAAGGGACGCCGGCCGGTTCTTGAGCAACCGTATAGTGAAGAAGCTGCACCACACGCCATACCTAAAACATTCAAAATGCCACCGTACTTATAAATATACGATAGCACGACGTACCCCGAGGATCATGTGACCCACTATGTCACCGCAGTAAAAGGAAACAACCTCGCCAAAGAACAAGTGTCTTCTATATTACCGAAGAAGTTTGGCGAAACCCTCACCAGGGGGAGCACTAACTTGGTATTCACAGTGTCGACGCCCCCTTTTTCTCGCGAAATCGGGTTTACGACATTCGGGAAGACAACTCTATTCCCGTTTGGGAATTGGGTTTTTGAAATTGAAGAATCGCCACCTAATGATTGAGTGCATTAGGACACTAGAAGGGTTTTTGAGTTGGAAAATCAGAGTTCGGGTAAGGGCTAGAAATTATCTCAAGGGGAAGGTTTTAGGCACCCCTCAAGATCCACTAGTGTGGTTCCCGGTCATGCTATGTTGTGACTTTAATGCAAATAGATACACAAAGAATTTTACACATAAGGGTTGAAAATAAATACGTGACAAGTATGTGGGATCAAGGTCTAGATGATCTACAATTTGTTTAAAAGGGGGACTAAACGCAGAAAATTAATCAATACATTGAATAAACAAAGAAGAAAAATTTGGAAGAAAAGGCATAATGCAGTAAAATTAAGGAGGAGTTTTGAGTAGTTGAAAAGACAGTATTTTATAGATATTAAACAAAGTTGTATAAAGAAAGGGGTCCTAGGTTTATAAATCACATGGATCAGCCACACAACACCGGTAATCAATTGTACGCGTAGTGTTATCGTGTGATCATCATCTCCATGTCTACCCTTCCCACCCCGTTAAGGTATTAAGCGCGAAATAGTCTCGTTTACTTATTGCATGCTATTACCCGTCCCACCTATCAGTCTTGGAGGCTTTTAGGACTACTAATCCTAAAGGGAGGAAGCTTGGCTTTTC